CGACGCTTTATTATTTCCGCCAAGTGTTTCCTGGAATGTATCTTCTCTCGCTCGTAGGAGGAGAACCAAAACCAACAAAGTCCAAAGCTATCAATTATGCTTAATTCGGAGGAAAAATATCGAAGGGGAAAGGTTTTTTTTTTGCTGGTCGCCACTAAGGGCCGTGTCTACGGAAGCACCTATCGCAATATTCCCGATCACTGCCTGCCCTGGGACCTCCCCCTTCTTCCCTGCGCCTGAGGAGAAATGGAAAGTGTCACTTCCCTGGCTTTACCCCGGCACCGGCTCCCACTCTCGCTGCTGTTTTCCAGCGGGGAAAATGGACGTCCTGCATGGCACCGAACTTCGGCACTTTTGAGGTGTGAGAAGCATATTCCACACAGCACGGGCTGAGGACACGGGCCTGTGCCAGCCTCCTGCGCACGAGGGGGCAGGCGGAGGCCGTCTGCTTCGCCACAAGCGTGTTATAAATGCATATCATATTATCGGCTTTTCGCAAATATTATCATGAATGTTATATGTATAAGATTAGAAAATGTTGTTGTATTAATGTAGTTTCCTTTATTTCTGTTATTGATCAAACTTAGAAATAGTGGTGTAATACATATATTGTGTATATATAGTATATATATAATATAGTATAGAATATGTTATATATATAACATAGTATTGTATAATACATATACTAGTGTAGTATAGTATAATGCATATACTATGGCATAGTATTAAAACAAAAGCTACTTTTATTTGTATAACCCAAAGACTGAAAAAGATAGCTAAAGACCCCCCTGCATTCTTAAACTATCTTATCCAGATGAAGACAGCAGTGACCATAACTCTGGGGGAGGAATTTATTGCATTTCTGGTATCAGAGAATGTAAATCTCAGTGGCGCCAAGAAGATTGATCTATTGAAAAGGGGGCAAGAGAAAACTAAACAGAAAAACACCGAAAATCCTAAGAAGAATGTCTGAATACGTATGAGAATTTATGGATATGTAGTAAGGTTCTGTTTTTAAGGGACAATCCTTTGTTAGTAAGGTGTGCTCTCTTGGCTGAATGCAGAGACACCCGGCCGTATCTGTATACTTTACTGTATTTTTATCTCCTGATTGTCTTTTTATTAAACTTTTAATGTCTATTAAAAAAATATGTGAACCTCGTTTTTCACAAGCAGAACCAGGAGCACGCTCCTTGCTCGGGTCAGGCACCCTGGCCAGCCCTGCCCCTCTGCAAGGGGTCTGGTGCTTGAATTTGCAGGTGCAGCTGGTGTCTGATCTCGCCTTGAAATGAGTGGCATGCCGTGGTTCTCTATGCACCTTTTAGCAAAATATTGAGAAACACTGCCAGTTAGGTTTTTGTCCTTTTCTGTTCACATCTAACACTATTTCTAAGGAACACAGTAAAATGTTACTTATTCTTGTTTGGACTTGGTGCCCTAACAATGTATGCACAGTAAGGCATGCTGGTGAAGCTGTCTTCTCCTGGCTCTTACTTGCTTTGGTTCAACCATTATGAAGACACTACATAATATCCTAAAAATGTGGAAGCAGATAGATCTACTGTTGCCCTCTTAGTTATTAGAGAAACAAACAGAATGCCTCCATGTGAAAATCGCATTGCATTGGAAATTTATTATCCAGAATCATCAGCTACAGTATCTATTAAATTACACTGTTTCCTGCCTTCATTATATCTGTGATACTTTCCTGCAGATAGAAGCACAATCCCATGTAGCTCTTTCATTTTTCAAACAGATTTCAAATAGCTACCATGGTTCAAAAATCTAGAGAACATGTTTTGTTTTCAAGAAGTAATAAAAATACAGCTTGGGCTGTGCATTCAAAACATCCTTAATGCAGGTTAGATTAGAAAAGCAACAGTTTAGCAAAGCTACTCAGCTCAGCCTCTAGGGAAAAGAAAAAAAAAAGAAAAAAAAGATATATGGATCTTAAGAGCTATCCCTCATTTTGGGGAAGCAATTGTCCCACTGCCATTTCTCTAAAATGAAACCCATGATTCCAAAAAGAAGTCCCTCAAGATGAAATGGAGACCCATTTGCATATCCATTACATATTAAACTTTATATTTTATAATAGGGGAATTTTTTTACTCTCTTTTATATGTATGCTGTCTTTCATTTTTTAGAAGGAACAAAGTGCCCCTGGATGCCAGTTCTTCTTTGTCCTTCTCAGAAAGGACTGGCTGGTGGCTGATTGGTGGTGTGGGTTGTGAAGTTTCAGCATCAGTAGGAAGCAAAACCAAAGTAACAGCAATCCTAAAAGCTAAGGATCCCCCGTCAGCTTTTAACTTCTTCACCCCTCAAACCCAGTTTAACTGTTTGCCATATGAGGAAGAGGGGGAAAAAAAACCCCTACCAAGCCATGGAACATGCTACACACATCTGTATAGGAGTTGTGCTGACTTTCAGAAGGAAAAGGCAACTTTACTCAGAAGATGTCCATTCTGCAGCTTCTGTTATTAGTATGCTAACATATTATCAAGCAACTTTTATCATCTTCTGCCACTCATCCTGTGTGGCATAAGTCCTTGCAGCTATAGTGTGATCAGCTTTTTTTAAAAAGTCTGTTTAACTGTGATTAGGCAAGTTCATGGGCTGGCTAAATTTGAGTTCTTAAAAAACTAAGGGGTAGAAAAAACCCCAAAATATTAAGCAATGGACATGTTTGCAAGAAAGAGAATGATAGAAGGATCGCTGCAATTACTGAAGTAATTTTTAAGCATTTCTTAACTCACAGTGCATCTTAAAAATAGTTTTAAAAGGTCTCAGGTTGATTTTTGACTAATTCTCATTTTTTTCCTTGCAGCAGCAGCACTAAGTCAAGAGAGAATGTCTACAATTACCTTTTCTTTCTGCTCTCTTTCTCCATGCCTCAAATCAAACTAAAGATTTGAATACTAGTTTTGTATATCTCCTAGTGAAATCATCAAGGTCTCAAAACTGCCAGAATAAGTTTGATATTTTTTTTAACTAGAGAATCACCTTAGAATGCATGAATCTCATTTTTCATGTTTTTTTTTAGGGAAAAAACAACAGTAAGTCTATCTCAATATGCAACACATTTCATTTACCATGGCAACAAATATTAAGAGGACTTTTTTTTCTAGGCCTTATTTAATCTTCTTTTACCAACTCATAATTTAGCTTAGCAACTTTTAAACTAAACTTTGACAATGCAAATAACTATTCAGAGCTGCGGATTCAATGTATGACACTCTGCACTTTCAGTTTTTCTTATTAAATCTTTTATTCTATTTGTAGATGCAAAAAAGAAACCAGCACAAAAAAAAAAAAAGTACATATTTTTTTATCAAAAACATTGGCAAGTGCTAGGAATATGCATGTGAAAGGAAATACATTATTTCATTCTTCATTGATTTATCCCCACATGCTGACTCTCAGAGGTTTAGGGTATTTCTCTACAAATGCACAGTTCCACTGACTTAATGGCAGTACCTACACAATAAAAACTTTTGTCTTCCTGAGTAGCACCAAAGCCACTGGCTGTGGTCTGAGCTCATCACCGTTTTTTCTCCCACTTGAACACCTCACTGAAGAGGTCCTCAGACAAGCATAACACTGATATCGCCAGTATCACCACTGATCATCAAAATATCTTACAGTTTAGGAGACTGGTGTTCCTCACTCTTCCATGTTATCAGAGACAGGTGCTACAGCAAAAGGGACACTCAGTTTCTGAGAAGAGTTATCCCTTTAGTTTCTCTTTGTGTAAAAAAGCCTGTCTGGCTAAAGTTGTTTCCCAGTAAGATTTGAAAGCTTGGAAGTTGGATTTATATTGCTGTTTTGTTATATTAATACAAATAGTAAGAAATGTTTCGAGTTTTTGTTCACACATAAAATAAGGGTGCAAAAGGTAAGAAGGGAGAAGTTTCACTGCAACTGGTGCAGGAAGATGTACAGCTATGCACATCTGAGGAAAACTCCCAAATAGAAAATATTTGAAATGTTAAAATATATTTATTAAAATTGGTACCAGCAGTTAAAAAAAATTATTTTCTGAAAAAATGTTCTGCATTATTTCAAAGGATATCAATAGATCACAGTGTATCAGGAAGCCACCTAGAAATATAGTTGGAAAACCTGCAGAAGCAGGAGCTGTGATCAATCATCAGACTTTGTGAATATGTTTCACTGACAGTGCTTACCAAGGCTGCACATTTTTTATTTCTTTGCAATATTCCAAACCTACTGGTTTGCCCTTGTGTAAGGGCAGACTCCTATTACCTAAAAGGAGAGTTTCCTTTTAAGCTTGGAAAGAGCACTGAAATGACATGAAACCGTTTTCTTTCTTCTTCAGGTGCACTGAAGAAATAGTTCTATTTGCTTTCCCGGGTGGAGATTTCCCAACAAGTTGGAGAAAAGTCAAAATTTTTGTACACCAGTAAAATTGCATATTAAAAAAAAATAATCCTTCATCTTATTTAAAATAGATACTAAAAAATTTATATTTGGTTAATACTTATAAAAAATGAAAGTGTACTGACAGGCCAGTCATTCTACTGAAACTGCTTCTATGTATGTGCCAGTACAGGAGACCCTAAAATGCTTTCTCAACCCCACAGTTGTTTTCTTCTTATGGGTGTTTCTGCAGAAGGCCACTCCGTGTTTCTCCTCTGGCTGAAGTGTTAATTGGCAGAAAAATGCATCAGAACATGAAAGCATGGCAGGTTTGAAACCAAGAGTCCAGAGAGTGGCTCAAGTTAAAAGTGAGTGAGATGCCTCAGTGTTGCAGTGCTTTTTGCCACCTTGAGAGAGTTGGGTACTCAAAATGGGAAGAAACAATCACTTGCACACAAATAGAACAAAATGTGCATATTATCATTTAAGGTGCAGCCACTTCTGTTGAGATTCCAGATGTCTGGAAATCAAGTTGAAAGAGAAATTAGTTCTGTGTCCTGCTCCTGCTCCAGGCTCAGTATTTTGTCCAATTTGCATCAAGCAAGGTCCAAACTAGTTAAAACTGATACCTCCTGATTCTGTGGTGTGCTGTGTCACCCCAGGCAATAAGGCTTCACTGCCTACAGCCTCATTTTGACAAATAAGAATAAAGTTACTTTTTGAAAGTATCCATCTTCCCTAGGATAAATGATTCATTCTTCTTTCTTGCACTACAGAGATATTGCACCTCTAGTTAAAGTAACAGGGCCTTTAAAAAAATTAGATTAAAAATAGTTTTATCAACGTTTCTAGGAGTTCATAAATAGAAACAGCCTTCAGCACATTTAGTAAAAAGGCAATGAACAAAACCAACTGCAAAATATCCCCCACATTTTTAGGGTTTGTCATTACAGAAAAGTCTCTGGAAAGAACACCTGATTTTGGAGACATTTAAATCAGTCTGTGATAGCTCCAGTGGGACCATCACCTTCTGCAACATGATAAGCAGCAGCAGAGGATTGTTCTGAGGGGATGTTTTCTCCTGTATTCCAAAGCTTTTTTCACTTGGTCTTTAGCATCTCCTACATAGTCCTCAACATTTTGCATGTTTATCTCAATGACATCAAAGGTGTCCGCCTGTTCCTCCACCAGCAGGGCCACCTGCAGAAAGAGCTCATGAACTTCCTTAATGCGACCTTCTAACTTCACCAGCTCCTTGTGTCGCGTCTCTATCTCATTCAAGGCTGCACGAGCTCCCTTAACATCCGACAAGAGATTCTCAGAGAAGACATCCCATTTGCCTTGCTCAATCATCTCCTCAATCTGGTGGCCAGAAACATCTTTGCCCATGATCTCCAGCTGCCGCTGAATTCGAATCTTGCAGTTCTCCCGCTGGTTCATCTCTGTTGCATTGTAATCAAACATAGCGTCCTGAAATGTGTGCATGAGGTCAACATAGTGGTTCTTCGCCACCCTGGCAATGACTGACATAGCTCCATATTTCGTTACTGCATCTTCACAGAAATCTCTCATCACCTGCAGTTTCCTGTGGATGCTTTCTCCACGGCTCTTAATGTCTCTGGCAATACAATTAGTATCTCGTTTGATGCTACTAAGACGGCGCATGGAAGTAAGGAAGCGGCTGTTTTGCTTTCTGAGACGGTTGACGTCCGCTTTTAGGTGGTCATTTTCTGTCCGGATATTCTGTATGTCCTTATGAAGAATTTCCAAGGCATAATCCGTCTCATAAAGGAGAATATCCTCAGGTGAATTTTCATCATCGTCACTATCTGAAAACTGTTGGTTGTGTAATCTGGCAAATTCACGCAGCTCACTTAAACGGTCTTTCATCCTGCCTGTAAAACAGGAATAGGAGGAATGAGTTTAAAGTAACTAAAATATTAGTTAAAACAGTTGAAAATTTGTAACTAATAGCTACATCATGGTGATAACTAAATCATATAAAACAAACATAACTACAGCAAAAATAACCCAAAATATCAGATTTTCAATCTGTTCACACTATTTTATATAGTTATGGATATCACATCCAAAATGCTGCTAGAACACTGTTCTAGAAAATAAAAAGATTAGGAACAAAAACTGCAGGAAAGAAGTCAACAAATCTTGAAGACAAATCAAAAAGAATAGTAGGACAGTCCCAAACTCCCCAGAAAATGCCAGTCTTTTACTTGAAGGGGAAAACCGGACTCCTGATAGGAAGCCTTCAACCATCAGCGTCTGTAGATGTGCTAATAACCAAAGACTTCCCACTGCTGCTCATTAGAGAAATCTCCTCTAGCTCCTGATCCTTCATTACATCAACTGCCCAAAATGTCACAGGGCTTCCCTCATTCTAAGTTTGCTTTTCCTGGAAGAATACTAAGAAGCCTCTCACAAACAGAAATGGCATTTACCAATAAATTTGGGAAAGAAAAGTTTCAAGAAATCATGTGAAAATATCAAGGTAAGGGGGAAAAAAAAAAAAAAGAGGAAGGATTGAAAAAAAAAGAGCAACTTTAGTGTCTGCAGATTGACCATGAAGTATCAGGCATCAACAATTAGGGATGTGGAGAATGAGTGTGGAGAATCTCTTGAGGAGAGACTGTGGGAGCTGGGCCTGTTTAGTCCAGAGAAGACTGAGAGGGATCTCATCAGCACATATAAATATGTCAAAGGCGGGTGCCAAGAGGATGGTGCCAGACTCTTTTCAGTGGTACCCAGCAACAGGACAAAGAAAAATGTCCATAAACTAAAACACAAGACATTTCACCTCAACCTGAACAAGACCCTCACCACATTGAGGGTGGCAGAGGCTGCCCAGGGAGGTTGTGGAGTCTGCCTCTCTGGAGGCATTCAAAACCCACTGGACATGTGTCACCTGATTTAGGTGACCCTGCCTTGGCAGGGGATTTGGACTAAATGATTTCCAAGATCCCTTCCAACCCTAACAATTTTGTAATTCTGTAAACTTTGTGCTTACCATTGCCTTAAACTTCAGAAAAATTAAATTTCATCGGCCTTCTACAGAGCGCATAGTAACAACTGGCTCAACAATGATTTCACTTTCTGTTTGTGTTTTCTTCATCAAGCAAACCCTGAGTAAAGCTCCTGTGTAATAAACTCATAATTATGTAAGAGTAGAAGGAAGAAATGGAGAAGCAAATACATAGTCATTTACAACATGAAAATCTTAATGCTGTAGTAAATTCATGTGTATACGAATTCTGCAGCATCTCTAAAAGTACTGTTTTTCTTTTAATACAACAGGAAAGTTTAAAAAGTCAAACATTAAAAGAAGAGTAAGGAGCTGTCAAGTGTGGCCTTGGATTGCACAATGTTGCCTGCACACAGGAAGATCACGCAATTAAACACTGGCCTATGCACTATCACTTCCACCAAGTCTCTGCCTACAGTCTGTATGTGCTGAATGAAAGTTGTACAACATAAAATTTAATATTCATCAATCAGCTCATGTTATCTCATTGGCCATGTTGCTACTGTTCATTTCATCCAGGATTTCCCCTGCAAAATCTTTGGAAAGTTCCAGAAACTCCTACCAGCCATTTGGGGAAAGACAGCTCTAACAGCCCCACAGTCAGGTTTCAGCCCAGAGTCATTAAGGACACCACTACCACTCTTGATGAGTTATGACGCCCACTTGAGACACTTCAAGCACGATTCTTTGTACCTGGAATCTTCAGAAGTCACCTCCTTCTGACTTCAGTCACTGCCCCAAGCCTTGAGCACTTTGCTGAGTAAGACTGCGAAGGAACGAGCTGGACATCAGTGAATGAACACATGGATCAAGGCCACTTGTGAACAGCTCCTCTCCAGTGACAGCATCACACACGACCTCCACAATCCAGCAGATCCAGCAGAGTCTAGCTGTAAGCAGAACAGAGGGATCAAGTTGTAGTCGCACTTACAATCTTCATCCTGGGTTTTCCCACTTCCCCAGTACTTAGTTCTAAAAGCCTACATTATTTGTGTCCACGTACCAAAACTTATATTTAGGTGGTCAACATTAGTATCTTTTAACTCTGCATTGAGGACAGCTCCCTGGGATATGTCTCCACAGGTCAGGTGTGGAGACATATCCCAGGTCCCACTTTTGTCCTAACAAATGGACACCATCTATTTAAGCCTGACTTCGGAGTCATGCAAAATCAGGGACTTTTTGGCACTTCCTTTCATTCTCCCCAAGTCCTGTCTTCCACATTCTGTTTCTAAATTGCATCACCTAGCCTGCTTCCCACTTCATCTTCACATTTTCAAGATGTTCATCCTTATCTACACACAGTACCTGGACAGGATGGAAGGGCAGGAATTGAGTAACTTTCTGTCTGTATTTCAGCATTGTATGAGGCCACAAACACCACAAGTTACAGAGGACACTTGTTCAGCTTTATGCTGAACATGCTCAAGTACTCCGTAGGTCAGCACTTGCAATATTTGGCCAAAGAGATTTGTGAGGTTCAAGAAAATGTTTAGATTTCATCTTTCTTGAGCACCTTTTGCTCAAGGAACACAGTAAATTTATTTGGGGTATTTGGAAACTGTTGCTTTGAGAAACTCACAATTTGGCAGAATTTTTTATTACATAAAGAAAAACAGTAGGCTGGAATGTAACATCACCTCAGACGTCTTCTCCTATTTCAAATTCTCATTTCAAACAAGGGGGAACCAGACCTTCTCAAGAGAGGACAATAACTTCCAAGCATTCCTTGGATGGTGTCAGGGACAGAACTGACACTAAAGAGCTGAAATAAATAAGCAGGGAGAGCAAGGGGGAAGAGCAATTTGAAACATTTCAACATAACAAGCTGTGGTTTAGAAAAGTTGGCTTCCTTTATCAGATACTGTTGTTACTCAGCAAAGTTTGCATCTATGCATAAGTTGACTGCATTGCTTGTAATTAGACCAGCAATATATTAATACATGGTACATTACGGGTTGTTAGGGATAGCCGCAAACCTCAGTCTGTAAAATGATCATCAGTCTCTCCCTTCATACAGTGCCCAGTGCAGCAGTAGAACTTGGGCTCTCTGACAGGGAAACAGCCCTGCAGGACCTTGGTGTGCTGGTAGGCATGAACAGGAATGTGAGGCATGCATTCAGGCTGGTGCAGCAAAAGTGAGGAAGGAAAGGGACCCCCTGTCTGACACTTGAGAGACCACATCTGGAGTGTTACTCACCAGACACATTGGGATGAGCTCAGGGGAGGCCACAGAGGTGATCAGAGGTGCTGGAGCACCTGATAAAGGAAGAGAGGCTGGGAGAGTTGGGAATGTTCAGCCTGAGAAACAGGAAGCTCAAGGGAGATCTTGTTGCCATCACTAACTGTTTAATGCAAGGCTAGAACTTTCTTGGAAATGTACAGCAGTAACACAAGATGCAACAGACCTAAGTAGAAACGAGAGAAGAGCCAGCCAGATACGAGATGGGGAGAAAGGAAAAAAAGAAGAAAACCCTGAACATTTAGAAACAATGGAAAAGGTGCTCAGAAAAGATTTGGAATCAGCATCCTTGAAGATATTTAAAACTCTACTGGCATGGTCTTCAGCAACCTAACTGCCTGTGTGGGTTTTGAACAGGCCTGGATTAGACAATGTCCAAACATCTACAGACAAATTAGACAAACAGTCTAAATAGTTCTGGTAATCATCCTTAGATAAAAGTTTACAATTTGACCATGAACATTAAATATATTTAACTACTTGTACAAATCTATATAAGAGACAGAAAAGTATGAGGTTTAATAGATTAGCTGTTAGTTTTATTTCATTTTAAAATGCTACATATATTCAAACTGGAAAATGTGCTTCCACGTTTGTATTTTTGGACTAGGTAAATCTGTCCCTGTAAATATGGAGTTCTTTCTGCAACCCGTAATGACATGTACACCCAAACACACACACAGGAAATACAGGCCAGGTGATGACTGCAGAGGTTACAAGTTTGAAGGCAGATATCCAGCAAGTACAGTCAGCTGAGGGCATGTTCAGTGCTCATCTTTTCATGTTACTGGGCAACTTACCAGTATTAATCACCACAGTGACAAGCTTTCCCATGATGCATGAGAAACATACAAATTGTCCTGTTGCAATAAGACTGGAGCCCCAGACAACTGTGTATGACATGGGATTTCAGACAAGAAAGAAAATCCACTCTGAAAATCAAAAACTATGCTTATGAATACACCCCCTGTCTGTTAGCCCCATATACATACAAAAGGGAGTCCTACAAACATTGCCTAACATTGCCATGCTAATGTTCTGAAGACTGTCAACTATGTGAAATAATCTAAGGGTGAAAAGTTATTTCTATAGAAACAAGTGAGTTACACACTTATGCTTATTTTAGCTTTAACATCTGTATATCAACACTCTATCCCCTTATGGACCATTCACTTAAGAGTTGGGCTCAACGATCCTTGTGTGGTCCTTCCGGCTCAGAATATTCTGTGATTCTGTGATCAGAGTTTGGGGACATGATGAAACATTTGGTGAAATGATGAAACAGCTTCAGCAGAGCATCCATATTTTATGGCCAGCTGCTGGGAAGGAAGGCAGTGTACATTTTTTCTTCTTGCAGCATTCATAAATGGCAGCTGCTACTTAATACCATCTTGTGGCTTACCCAAAGTCTAGTCAGTAATCTTTTCAGCCTTGAGTAGGGCTTTACAAGATGAAGCTTTTACTTCAGTTGTTTGAGGAACAAGAGAAATTTCAAAACAAGTCAGTTAAAAATAATTTCTGTCAGTAGCTCTTCTTGCCCTTGGAAGGTAAAAGGAGCCCACGTGGCTCATCCTGGCTCTGAATGGCATGTGATCTGGATTGCATGACACACAATAGATGTGACCCAAAAAACAAGTGGTGAACAATTAGGAAATAACCTGCTCTTAGGCAAAATTACTTCATAGCTAAGTGTGTCAGCATATTTCAGTGACTTCCTATATTACTTGTAGAGAACGTAGTGTTGATGGAAATCTACTCAGATGGACATACTGAACTGAACACACTACATTCCAAGGCAAATAGAGTGCTGCTGTTGCACTAAAATACAAGTCATGCATAGGTAAAAAACGTGTTAAATTCAGCTGAAGCATTTTGTTTAAGAGTTGGAGTCTCAAATTTAATAATTTTCTAGTAACTATCTGTTTTGTAAATAATTGTCTTAGACCAGATTTAACATTTTTGCTTGGTATCTGTTGTCTAATAATAGATTTCACAATATTAATTAACTTGGGAAAAAGACTTTGTTTTTCTAAACAGTAAGTTTTCCTCTTTCCAGAAGAGTAGTTGGCTTATAGCAGAGTACTAGTCATCTTTTCAGTCCAAATTCCCTGTCTTCTCAACCATGCCCATCACAGGGGGCACAGCAGGCTTGAATTTTTAAAATTACTCATCTTTTTTTCTCTCTTCTCCTCTGTAAGAGCCTGAAACAAACAAAAAATTATTATCTAATGATTAGGACAGTTTGCCTTCTCAAGGCATTGATTCTGATTCTATGATCACATATGTGAACTAACTCCAATATTAACAACTATGACAGAGATCATCAGTTCAAAATCTTTTTATGGCCTCACCGAAAGGAAGTTATCCTCTCTGGTTTCTTGGATTTCACACTGATTAAAAATAGACAAAATGTATTCAGGAAGTAAAGTCCATCAGCTAATATTGAATGCCAGTTATAAAGCTACAGATATCCATCAAGAAGTTGCAAGTGTATCTGAAGACTACACTACCCAGCTCATCTGCTCATCAAAGCCTGTGTACAACACAACACCACCTTTATACTTTCTGTCACCCTAGAGACACATATTTGCAGTTGCAAATGTCTCAGGGTATTATGTTTTCCCAAAAGTTTACATGTAGTATCAATTTCTATGTTTGTGCCAGGACACGTTATTTATTACAAGCTGATAGATTCAGAGAATTAGGGGTGACTCCATTCTTTGCAGGCTACTTCTGCATCTGGCAGAATCTCCAAGTCTCCAGTGGTTGTTTTCCTATCCTAAAGGTTAGGAAAAACCTAGGGGGGCAAAAATTAACTCAGATTGTTGCTTCTAATTCAAAGAAATGAGGCAATAATTGCTAGAATACTTGTAGCTTTGGAGGTTCTTCTTTGACTTATCTGTTTTTTTACCAGTATTCAATGTCTTCAACAGAAAGGAACTCTCAATTTTTGTATGACAACATATTATAAATTCTAGAATCTAGGGTGCATCTGGTCTATCTCAGATGCATTGAATGCAGTTAACCATCCTGGCGTTTTCTGTAGACTGGTTATCAGCTTTCCCAGATAGTATCAAAACTAGGAGATGCTGCTGGTTCATATTAAATGCATTCTAATATGCCATTTTTCACATATTTATGATAAGACTGAGAAAAAAAATCTGATGTTTTAGCCTGTTACTCAGTAGCCATGAGAGTAAACATTATTTCTGCATTGGAGAGGTCAGCTTGTTTTACATGGGTTGACTGCTACTATTTACTTGATTGTCTAGATTTTCACTGGAGAGCTAAGAATGACCACTGACAAATTTTCAATAGTGGATAGACAAAATGGATTATCGGTATCTCCTCTTGACATTTTCCTCACAAGTCACATACATGAGCTATTGTAACTAGATTTGGTGTTGGTTGGGTGGGGTAGGGAGCAGTTGTAACAGGGCTGTAGACAAAAAAAGTTTCTCCATCTTCACTGGTTTGCAACACCAATGTCTTCAGGTAAAATTGGCCTAGATGGAGACAAGGGGAGTGTGAGCTGTACCTCCAAGGGCTTGGCAAATGGTTAAGACAGATATATACCACTAACATAAACAGAGAGACAGCCATCCATGCATTTCTTGGCAATTACTACAGCTCGGCATCATTACAGGTCACCTTGCAGGGCAATCAGCCAACACACTCACAGGCAGTGCTGGCACTACGGCAGCATGAGCATATACATTATCTAATTAATCACCTCGGCTTCCCTGGAACACATTGGCTCAGCGAAATAGCTGTGCACATACCACATTTATATAACTACTGTTGCTACCACACAGTGGTATTTATAAGTGATTAAGACGTTATGTTGGTATGCAGATAGAAATATGAGGTTGCATGTGATCATCAGTCAGAGCCAACATGTTCTACTGATGTTTTTAAATTAGCACAACTGCATTATTTTTTAAAAAGCACATATATTTAAGGCTTGTGATAAAGTGTTACAATCTGAGACCAAGTACTCTTGACTTTAAAAGAAACTCCTTTAAGCTTAAATACAGGGTGTTTTCTTGTCATTTGGTCACGTGTGCCGGTACACATGAGGCTCAGTTTGGGATCCTATTGCAAAATCTGCACAACTGTATCTGCACCAAACTAGTTCCTGGCAGGAAATAACCCCTACAGCCACACATGCATACCCACAGCCTCAGCCCCAGGATGTGTCAGGCTTTATGTCAGTTAGATTATTTAGCAGCCCATGGGTATTTACAGGCCCATTCAAAGCACCAGTGAAATTGAGACAAGATATAGATGTAATTAGGGACAAACCTGATTGGGCATATCAAAAGCTCAAGCAAGCTTTATTCTTGCTTTGAAAAATAAATGAGGTGTCACTACCACAAACAGCACAGAGAAAAAGGCATAGAAGGAAAAGCTGGAGTGCGCAGTATTTCCTTGACTTTTGCAAAGATGAGCTTGCTGAGAATAATCCTGGCAATTAATGGGTTAACTGCCATAGCAGATTAGGCAAAGGCTGTACACATGATAAGCCTTCTGAAGTCAAGATGTGTGACATCGTTCTCTCTCTGATAAAACTACGTAATTGTGACCTAGATGTAAGTGCCAAGCACTGCGTGAGAGCTCTTGCTGATTGTGTAGAGTGTCTTGGTATCTCATCTAGCTTATCAAAGCAGAGATAAAAATCAAATTGCTTTGGTCCCCTCATGTGGAGGCCCCCCCCGCTCCCCCCACTACCCAAGAGAGGGTTCCCAGTAGTCAGCCCTAGACTGCTCCCTGGGAAGGATGTTGGTTCCTGGCCAAATCTTGGGGAATAATCCTAAATTCAAGTGCAACCAAAAATGGCTTCACTGCAAAAAGTGATAACCCCAGATTTGGCATTGAGATGGGTTTACTGGATCAAGTTAACATTGCCTCAGTAATTTCTGCACCATGGTCATCCTTGAACTACAGGGATGACCAGAGTTAAAGAAAATTGATGGGCCAGATAAAAGATAATAGAAAGTGTATCTGGTCCAGCACCTTCATATTTGACACAGCAGTTGTCTTCTCACTGTCAGAACTGGTTTTGAACATATCAGCATTAGGATGGGTATCTGTCACACTCAGAGGTTATCCATATTTTTCATTAGTGACTTGGAGAGTGGAATCAAACATGAGTTTGTACAGTCTCCAGGCAACACTGACCTGGAAGGGAGTAGAAGCAAGCGTTTGATGGGGGCAGGGGAGGAGAAATGATGACAATTTAAGGTGATCTTGACCATAAGAGAAGAATTAACAAAAATAAAAGGAAATTCAATATAGAAAAGCCTGGCTTGTCTATTTAGATAAAATTATTCACACAAATATAAAGTAGGAAACACCTAGTTTGGCAGCAGGGAAGCA